TGAGCTGGCCCTGAAGATGCCAGCCCAGGGGAAACCGGCTGCTGTTGCACGGCCAGTGGAACAGCGCCCCTAGCGGGAGTGGGGCTGGAATGAACACTGACCCCTGCTGGGGAAATTAAATATTCTCATGCAGGCTACGTGAGTGTGTGGGTTGGGGGGAGCCCAGGGCTGGGCTAGCAGGGGGCTGTGGGTCGGGAGTGAGGGGCTTCGGCAGGGCTGGGTGGGGCGGGGCAGGGCTGGGCTAGCAGGGGGTGCGGATCGGGAGTGAGGGGTACTGGCGGAGCTTGGGGGGAAGCCCAGGGCTGGATTAGCAGGGGGCTGCGGGTTGGGAGTGAGGAGCACTGGCGGAGCTCGGGGGGAGGGTGGGGAAGCCCAGGGCTGGGCTAGCAGGAGGCTGTGTGTCCGGAGTGAGGGGCACTAGTGGGGAGCAGGGAAGCTCAGGGCCATCTAGGTGCGTCTGACACCCTGCTGGGTGGGTGAGCTTTGTCGCCCCACTTGGGGGACGCCGAGGTCCAGCCCTTGGCCCGCAGCCCCGGGCAGCGTCTCGCTCCCTGCGCGGGGCCGCTCGAGGGATGGGAACAATGTGAATGGGGCTGGCAGTGCCAAGGCGGGGGGGGGCCATCAATGCTCCTTTATGTGGCTTGCTGCGTGCCTGGGCTGCCAATGTGCGGGGGGGGGAGGGGCAGGGCCCTCTGCCCCATGGACCCCTCCCTGCCCCAGTGCCCCCCCCAGCACTCGGGTTGGGGGCACAGTGGCTGGATTCACCTATTGAGGAGGGGTGAGGCCGAGCGAGGCCGGCGGAGGGGGCCTGGACGCCCCGAGCCATCTGGGCCCCGCCTTGGAGCTGGATGGGAGCCGGCGCCCCCTAGAGGGGACAGGCCCTGTGCCGTATCCTCCCCCCAGCTGCCAGGCCCTGCCCTGGGGCTGGATCAGAGCCTAGTTCTGGCACAGAACCGACCTGAAAATTGATTCAATGGGGCCAGCTGGCGGCCAGAGCCTGGCAGAGAAATTCCTCCCCATTTAGCATCAGAAAACTGAAACCCAGGGCAGGGTCAGTGAGGCCGGGCGCGGAGATGCGGCTGCCTGGAGTGGGGGAGAGGGGGGTTGCAGGTTATACAGGGACCCCTCACCCAGTGCTGAGATGAGGCCACCTCTGGAGTGGGGCATGAGGGCTGGTTACATAGGAACCTCTTGCCCAGCTCTGAGATGCGGCTGCCTTGGGGTGGGGCTGGTTATACAGGGTCTCTTCGCATGGCACCGAGACACGGCTGCCTCAGTGGGGCTATATAGGGACCCCTCGGTCATTTGGAAAAACAAACAGTGGTGGTGTTGCTCCTGAGGATGCCCCCCAGTGCAGAAAGGCGGTGGCGGCTGGGAGTGGCGTGGGGGATACGGGGCCATGGGGTCAGTGCTGCGCCGGCTGACGTTATGATTAACTCAGATGCTCCGTTCTGGGTCATTATCAGAGGTAGGCTGTACGGGTGGAGACACAAGGGACCAGTTGGGATTTAGAAGGATACGTGGACATTAGGTATCTAAGTAAAGCAGGGCTGAAACATGGTGTCCACAGTTGTCAAGGCTGAATTCCAACTCTGTCACTCTGAGTGCAGAAGTGAGGCCCGCAAGGATTTTAAAAATTAATACTTATCACTTCAGGCTTGTATTAAACTCCCAAGGTTACAGCTTCTCTCTGACCTTGGACTGGTAAACGCTGCCACCACCCAAATGCAAAACAACAACAACAACAACAAAAAACCCTTTAAGCACAGGAAGGAGCACTTGGGAACTCCTCCCTGGGGGGTACCCTCAAGTCCTTTCACACACACACCCCTCTGGGGAAGAGCTGAGAAGGAAACAAAGGAAATTATCTGTGGCTACCAGCTAATCAAACAACATATGCACAAACCTCTTAGGACACCAAAAATCCAATCCTGTTCTTAAAAAAGGTAAATTTAATTAAAAACAAAAAGAAAGAAAATATATCTGGAACTTAGGCTTTTGCTAGCTTTTAAAAGAGCAATTCCAAAAACCAAGCACCCAAAATAGCTTTCTTGGGGGTTCAGCTTAAAGGTTACAAGCAAAACAAAAGCACCTGGGGTTAGCACAGAGGAGTCCACAAGTCAATAAGAAATAAAAGAAATAACCCTAATCGCGGCTAGCTGAACATTCTGATCTACTTACACATTTGGAGGTCAGAGAAGTAGTTCTAGGCCTGAGCTGATGATTTATGATCATACCTGGCTTAAGCTGCTTATAGCATGGCTGCTCTGACCCTCCAGCCCAGAGAACAACAGACAAAGGGAAAGTTTCTTTCTCAGTTTTAAGAAGTTCTACCTTCCCATTGGCTCTTTTGGTCAGGTGCCCACTTTTTTTTTCTTTACCTGGGGGACTTTTTAATCTTTTACTGGTAAAGCAAGTAAGAGGGATTTTACAGCTAACTGGCTGGCTGGGTGTCCATCAAAGGGAGCTCCCCCCCCCCTTTATTTATCACAACAGCTGTGAGATGCCAGCTTAGCCATACGACGCCCTAGGAGTAAGAGATGCTTGACATAAGTAAGTGACCAAAGAGCGACTCTATGTCACAAGATCATGAGACAGACGTCCCGACGGGTCATGCTGTGAAAAAGTGACCGTGACGTACGTAGAGGCTCTAAGTCTGAACCAAGTAGCGGCGGGGTCTTTCCCTCTGTTGAGCTTGAAACTGTGGCCACCAGAGCCGAACCCACGGTGGGGTAAGATAACATCACTAACTCTATGCTAAATAAAAATAAAGGCTACAGCCAGTCTGGGGTGGAGCCCAGTTCTCCTCTTCAGCTAGCAGGAAGCAGATGCATCCGAATTGGAGGCAGCGGTGGGATCCCAGCTGGGGGTTAGCTCCAGGCTAGGCACAGGCCGGCCAGGTGGGGCTGCCCCCAGTGCCCCCTTCTGGCCTCCAAGCTCCAAGTCAGAGGCCCAAGGTAGCTTGGGGGTGGGTACAGGGGGAGCCTCAGCCCAGGGTCCCTCCAGCCAGGGCTCCTACTTCTAGGACCCGCCGGGACATGGGAGGGCAGAGCTGGGGGACCGCCCTGGCAGGGGGCTGAGGAGACAGGGCAGGATAGCCCCAGAGGGAGCGGAGCCCCGGCAGGGCTGGCTCCAGGGTTTTGGCCGCCCCAAGCAGCCAAAAAAAAAAGACCGTGATCTCGATCTGCAGCGACAATTCGGTGGGAGGTCCTTCGCTCCGAGCAGGAGTGAGGGACCGGCCGCCAAATTGCCGCCGAATAGCTGGATGTGCCGCCCCTCTCCAGAGTGGCCGCCCCAAGCACCTGCTTGCCAGGCTGGTGCCTGGAGCCGGCCCTGAGCCCCAGAGAGCGGGACGCAGGCCCCGCACGGCAGCGCCCCGCCCTCTATGGCCCCACTGCTCCTGCTGCTTCTGGCCACCCTGTCGCAGTCCCTGGGCAGCTCGGGCCGCTTCGCCCAGCCCCGGCTGCGGCGCTGGGGGACGGCTGCCCTGTGGCACCTGCAGGCGGCTCCGTGTGCCCCGAGGAGCGGCCCCCAGTCGAGTGTCCCCCACTCAGAGCCTGCCTGTCCCAGCCACAAGGTGCGGGTGCTGCTCCCCTGCGGCGCGAACCGCAGCAGCCCCAGCCTCCCCCCCTCAACGTGCTGCTGCTGCCAAGGCCGGTGTAGCCTGATTTAGGATGTGTTAGTTGTGTTGATTTAATTTATCTACTAAATTTCATTAATTAATTAATAATTTTGTTAATTTTAATATTTTAATAATTATTACTATTGTTGTGAATATTAATTAGTATGGGTTTTGGCTCGCCAATTTGTTTAATTAGAAGATAGAGTTTGTCCTGAATTAGGCTTTACAGAGTTTATAAAAGGAAATTTGGGGTTGTGACGGGAAGTTTACACAGAGACAGATAAAAGAACAGGAGTACTTGTGGGACCTTAGAGACTAACAAATTTATTAGAGCATAAGCTTTCGTGGGCTACAGCCCACTTCTTCGGATGCATATATGCATTCGGAGAGAGATGTAGTTATAAAGACTTTTTATTAAAATTAATGAAGATAGTAAGTAAATGGCAAAACAGTTAGAATTACAGAGTTACACTTGTATTACAGTTTTTTAAGAGAATATAAGACTATAAACTGCAAAAATTGATTAATACTTACACCCTGTTTTGATAATAATCTGGTGTTGGCAACACCTTAGGCGTCTTTTACACCTTTAGTAAAGGAAGCTACAGCAGAGTTATTTGTTTTTTAACTTAACTTTATGTGTTATTAGCTCAGGGCAGGCTCTAGGATTTTTGCCGCCCCAAGCGAAAACAGTTTTGGCCGCCCCCCCCCCCCACCCCCATTTTTTTCTTACCCCCCCGGCCCCGCCTCAACTCCGCTCCTTCCCCAAATCCCCAGCCCTGCCTCCTCCCCCCAGTCTCTCAAGCCTAAGAGGGAGGAAGGGAGAGGGAGAAGCAGCACGTGCTCCGCGGCCACTCGGGGTCTCCCCCTCCCTCCCAGGCTCTCAAACCCGGGAGGGAGGGGGAGATACCAAGTGGCTGCGGTGAGCAAATCAGCTGTTTCGCGCGCCGCAGCCGCTCGGGATCTCCCCCTCCCTCCCAGGTTTGAGAGCCTGGTAGGGAGGGCGAGCAGCGGCGCACGAGCGGCAGCAGCGGAGGTGAGTTAGGGCGGCCGGGGCACATTTTTAGGGGCGGCATGGCCCGCGCCAGAATGCCGCCCCTAAAAATGTGCCGCCCCAAGCACCAGCTTGTTTTGCTGGTGCTTAGAGCCGACCCTGGGTCTCAGACCCCCACTCTGGGCCTGTCTCGCCCACTGGGCTCCAGGTTCAAGGGTCATTTGATCCAGTTGCCCTCAGACCTGCCCCCTCAGTCTGGGTCACCCAGTCTCATCTGGGAGCAGAGAACAGGCTCAACTCATGGCACCTGCCCCCCATCTCTCCCCTTTCCCTCGCCCCCCGCACTCACCCGACTGGGCATCCTCCCCCTAGTGTCGGTCTCGCTCACCCCCAGCGCGGCGGCCAGCTGGGGTCCAGGTCCCACGAGCCGTCGGCATTCTGCAGAGACACCAGCCTCAGCAGGGGAGACTCCTCCGGTGCCCGCTCTAGAGAGAGACGTGGGGAGATGGTTACAGAACAATGACATGGCCTGTCCAGGTTGATTCCCCCTGCCCGCCCCGCCCACCCAGTTTGCCCCCCCCCGAAAACTTTAGCCGCTTGATACAAACTCACACCCCAAACTCCAGCTTCACAGAGTTTATTGCCTGGGAGTTTCCTTATTTTTTTTTTTCATTTTGTTGCAAGATCATTTGCGTCACGGCACTTAAAAAACCCAGCTGCAGATTCCCCCTCCCCCAGCGTCACACCGGTGTTTTGCCCAGGAAGTTCCTTCGGCTGGGATGTGGCCGTTAAACACTTGCCCAGCTCCGGGACCATCAGGGCACGTCTGTCTCGGACCCGAGGAAGCGTCATCCTGGCGTTCGCCCCCCGCCCGGCGCCCTGACTCCCAGCCCCTGCCCCCCTCACCTGGCGGGCTGCAGCATCCGGCGAGGCGTGTTCCCAGGACTCCCTGCGGTTGCCCTTTCACTGTGGGCTCCCCTGGCTCAGCTCTGGGTGCGGGGGGGAGACGGATGGTTCTGGGCTGGGGGAGCACGTGGGGGGGGCGCAGCTCATGGCGAGGTGGTCCCTGGCCCCGAGGAGGGGCACTGGCATTGGGCAGCCGAGCGCACGGGGAGCGCATCTGGCCATGGGCGGGCAGGATCCATATAGCGCCCATGTGCTGCATTCTGGCCGCAGCCTTGAAGCCTGCGGGGGCAGACGGAGGGACGGACGGACACAGAGACAGACAGAGACAAGCTAAGAGAGGGAAGAACCCCTTTCCCCAGCACCCAGAGCCAACGCACCGCTGGGACCCCTCCTCCCTGCCCCCAGGCTGGGACCCCCTCCCCGCACCCAGCCCCATCCTCCTCTCCCCCCAGCTCCCTCTGAGCCAGGATCCCCCCGGCTCCAGTCCCTCCCCCGCCGGGCTGTGACTCCCCAGATCCAGATCCAGCCCCTCCCCCCCAGCTTCCCCCAGCCGGGACCCTTCCTCCAGCCCCAGGGGCACCCCATGGATGAGGGCAGGACCCTGGGAGGGCAGGGAGGGGGCGACACAACCCCATGGGAGCTGGGGCAGGGAGGGGGGCAAAGGGACATTAGCCCATAACCATAATCCCCCCCCATGCTTCTGGGTCCCTCCTCTCACACTGGGATCCCCCGTGCTAGAATTCTCTGTCCCCGCTCTCCCCCCGGTGCCAGGTTCCCCCACCCACCTGAGCCTTCTCCCCCCACCGCACCTGGTGCCGGGATCCCTGGCCCCTCCAGGGATTTTTTTGCAAATCCCCTGTCAGCGGGCTGTCCCGTCTCACCAGCAGCCCCTGCACTGGCTGCCCCCGCTCTGTGTCCACCCCCACGTAGGCCGTGAGGGAGCAGACGACCCCCAAGCTCAGGCTGGTCTCCAGCACCCGGCGCCGGTCCCCCTCCGACCCGGTGTCCACGGCCCCCTCCAGCTCCAGCAGCAGTGACTTGGCTGCCAGCCGGTGAATGGGCAGCCTGTGCCGGGGACAGAGAGTCACGGGGTGAGCCCCAGACGCCTGGGTTCCTGCCACTGTGGGGAGGGGAGCAGGGGCTAGTGGGATAGTGTATGGGGGGGTTGGGAGCCAGGACTCCTGGGTTCTATCTCTGGCTATAGGAGGGGAGTGGGGTTTAGTAGTCACAGCAGGGAGGCTGGGAGCCAGGACTCCTGCTTCCTTCTGTGACCTGGGGCAGGTCCCCTCCCATCTCTATTCTGTTGGGGGTGGGGATGTGTGGGACAGGACCCAGCGGCTTGGGGAGGATGGGGACCAGGGAGCATTGCTGTCACCTGTCTCCATCCTGTGGCTGCAGGGGGAACTGCAGCATCTCCTTGTAGGTCTGGTCCTGGATGCAGTACTGCAGGGTGACGCCCCCCACGGCAGTGTCTGAGGGCTGCAGGCAGAGAAAGGGGGTCAGAAGGGCAGTGTGAGGGGGGAGAAAATCAATGGGGTTGGTTAGCACAGAGAACTCCAGCCCAATATCCCTTGTTAGGGGTCAGAGTTAACGATCCCCATTAGATCAATGGGGCTGGGTAGCACAGAGCCCCCAGCTCAATGGCCATCGTTAGCGGGTCAGAGTTATCACCCAGGAGGGGATGGGAAGTTACCGGCTCAGTCACTGACCCCAAGCCCTGGGGGTGTCCGGGGGGGGGGTTGCTCTCTCACCTGGGGCTGCCCGCGGAGCTGGGCGTAGATGAGGCACCGCTGCCCAGGGAAGATCACCTCAGGGCCCCAGCCCAGCAGCGCCGCCTCCATCCCAGGGGGCAGATCCCAGCTCAGCGAGATCCCAGTCACGGCCGGCTGCAGGGCCCGCTTCAGAGACTGCAGGGCCTGGGGGAGAGACCGGCACACACAGGGTGGGGCCAGGACACCAGGGCCTATCCCCAGTCTGGAAGGGGAGTGGGAACTGGCGGGTTAGAGTAGGGGGGCTGGAAGCCCGGACTCCTGGGTTCTCTCCCAGCTCTGGGAGGGGAGTGGGGTCTGCTGGGTTAGAGCGGGGGAGCCCGGACTCCTGGGTTCTCACCTTGGGCTGCATGCGGTCCTGGCCCGTGATGAACTCGGCGCTGCCCCCTGCTGCCCGGGCGATGCCTTTGACCAGAGCCATGGAGGCCCCTTCCCTGATGCCAAAGGAGAAGCACCTGCAGGGGGGCAGAGACAGGAGGGAGAGGGGCAGAGCTGGGGGGCACAGCCAGTTCTGGGGTGGGGGCAGCGCAGTTGGAGATGGGCCAGTAGGGCTGAGGGAAATGGGGTGGCAGGGCAGGAAAGCAGAGTTGGGGAGATGATAGGGGCAGAGGTCTCCATGGCAGAGAGGCTGGAGATCAGGGTTGGGGGTCAGGGCTGGGGGGGGTCAGGGCTGGGGGGGGGCACTGAGGGGGCAGGTGCCCCGATTACCTGTGGGCCCCCCGGTGACGCTGCACCTCAGCGATGACGTCCTGGGCATTCCTCACCTCCCCGTCCGTGAACACAAAGAGCTGGTGAGGGAGAGACGCTGTCAGAGCCGGGGACCCCAAATCTCCCCAGAGACCCTTCTCCCCCTGGGAATGGGGGAAGCCCCCAGAGAATCTTCCCCACTGACCCCCCTCCCGGAGACCCCCAGCCCCATAAACCCCCTCAGCCCCCTTTCCTCCTCTCCCAGACATCTCACCGGGGGGGGGGCTGACAGACGGGGACCCCAACCTTCTCCCCGGTCTCTAACTGTGATCCACAACCCCCACCTGTCACCTTTTCACCACCCCCTGGAGACACTAACCTGCCTGACAGCTATGGGCACCTTTCTTGGACCCTCCTGATGCCCCCACGTGCCCTCCCTGCCCCCCAGCTGCAGGACGCCCCCCCAGAGCTGAGCGCAGCACCCAGCGCTGCCCCCCAGCTTTACACAGAGGTACCCTGCCCGGCTCCTGCCTGCCACGCCCTGCTCACACCCCCAGGGGCACCGGCCCCTGGTTGGCCCCATTCCTACTCTGAGCCCCCTCAAAAGCCCCCATCAGCTGCCCCCCAGCTCCCAGCCCCTCTCCAAGCGCCCACCATGGCCCCCTGTCAGCTGCCCCCAAAGCCCCCTGCCCCTCTCTGAGGGTCTCCCCCCGGGAGGGAACAGCCTCCTCAAGAGAGCTGAGGGGCAGAGAATCCTTCCCAGGGGCTGGCTGGGGGGGGTTTCACCCCCACGCTCGGGGCTCACTGACCCCCACATGTGGGGTGGGGAAGAGATTTTCCCCAGCATCAGATTGGCAGAGACTCTGGGGGGTTCATCCCCCTTGGCAGCTGGGACATTTGCTGGTTTGAACAGGAGTAACTAGGGGGGCTCTGGGACCTGACATTTGTAACTCAGGGTTTGGGGGCGTCGGTGACTCAGCCCCAGGGGCTGGAGCTGTCACAGGGGGGTGGGGGCCAGATGAGATGATCAGGATGGTTCTTTCTGGCCTGAAAGTCTCTGAGTTTCTCCTCCCCGGCCCCATTCCCTTCTGAAAGCCCCACCCTCAACCTCCCTTGGCTCCCCCAGCCCCTCTCCGAGCCCCCGGGACGCCCTGCTGCTGCCCCCGGTACCTGGCGTGGGTGCCCATCCAGGCAGGGGCTGCGGTAAATGGCTTGTAGCGGTGCCAAGATCTCGGTGCCCCCCAGGTCAGCCTGGAGCTGCTGGACGCGCTGCAGGGACTCGGCCATGGTCTGCTGGGTGTATCCCACGCTCTGCCTGCAGAGGGCGCTGAGGGGTTAGGGGCCGGGACAGCTGGAGTCAGGGACACCCCAACCCCAGCCACCCCCACCGCCTGCCAGCCCTGCCCCCAGCCCAGGGACACCCCGATCCCAGCCAGCTCTGCCTCCCGCCAGCCCTGTCCCTGCCAGCCCTGCCCCCAGCCCACAGACACCCTGCCCCCAACCCCAATCAGCCCTGCCCCCTAACCCAACCAGTCCCCTCCCTGCCCTGCCCCTTTGACTCACGGGTAGAAGGACTCGAACCAAGACCCAAAGCCATAGATGTTGAAATAACAGCCCAGGGGCAAACTCTTCAACAGCAGGACCAGGGTCTCCTGGGGATGGACAGAGATGGACGGAGTCACCGCCCAGGTCCAGCCAGCCTGAGCTGCCCCCTCCCTCTCCCAGCTCTGCCCCACGGGCCCAGCCAGCCTAGGCTGCTCTTCCCCCAGCTCAGGCCTTCCGGGCCCAGCCAGCCTGGGCTGCTCCCCTGGCTCTGCCCCACCGGCCAAGCCAGCCTGGGCTGCTCCCCCGGCTCTGTCCCACCGGCCAAGCCAGCCTGGGCTGCTCCCCCCGGCTCTGTCCCACCGGCCCATCTAGCATGGCCTCCTGCCAGGGTTACGCCTGATGGAATTCTGCACCACTGCGCACGCGCAGAACTCATGTGTCCTGCAGAATTTTTTTCCTGCAGATAATACATTTCTGCCTGAGAAGTGCTGCAGTTTCGCCTTTCACCCACCAGAGGCCGCCATGGTGCCAGAGAAGCCAGCAGCATGAACTCAGCCAGCTGTTGTGGCAAACAGCGTAACTGCAGCACTTCTGGGGCAGAATGTATTTTCTGTGGGGGAAAAAAATTTCTATGAGTACCCAGTGCAGCAGAATTCCCCCAGAAGTAGAAGTTCATCACAGCACCCTGCTGGCAGAGCCAGGTTAGGACAGACAGAGGGGGGCATATGCGGCTGCTGGGGGGATAGACTGGGGCACAGGCTGAGGAGCTAGTGGGGTGACACCATTGAGCCAGGAGCTGAATGGGAGTGGAGGTGCAAGGCCACATGGGAAAGGGGGTAGGGGAGATGCAGGAACACATGGGGATGGGTGTGGGGAGGGGGACAGGGCAGATGTGGCTGACTGAATGGGAGAGGCTTGGGGTCAGCCAGGATCTGCATGGGGGAGGCTCCCCAACTCCCCAACAATCTGCCACTCCCCCCAAAAAGCTGTTACATACTTCTCCCATCCACACCCAACAACCCTCCCAGTTCACTCCAGGCTCCTTCCCTCTTCCTCAGCTCCTCCATTACCCCTGACTCCCCCAAGCCTTTGCACTGCTTCTGAGGGGGGCAGGAAATATGGTTCTGTATTGTAGTTAAATGAATTACTCAAAGTTTTGTGTTAATATGCCTAGTAAGGAATAGAATCTTTTTGTTGTCTGTGTTGTTACACATGTACTTGCTGACAGATATTTTGAAATACATTACCAAAATAATTGAAACTGTCAAAATTATATTGTGTTATTTTGACAAAAAAATGCAGATTGTTGCAGAATTTTAAAACGTGTGCACAATTTTTAATTTTTTGGTGCGGAATTCCCCCAGGAATACTGGCCATACCTTGGCGCTGTCGATGCGCTGGGCCGAGTAGTCTAGGCCGTCCATGGGGCACGCCATGCTGCCGGAGCGGTCCAGCAGGAAGATGAACTCCCCGGCCAAGCTCTGGCCAGGCAATGCCTCAAGCAGGCTGGGCAGCAGGGTCACCATCACAGCCGGGTCACCCATCAGGGAGCCTGTGGGAAAATGGGGCCAGCCCCAAATGGGGCGGACATGGGGTTGAGCCCTGTGAGATGTAGATAAATCTCTGATAATTTTCATATGACTTTACATTGTGCCTCTTCATATAACCT